GGCCCATGATCTAGGGTAAGTTGACTCCAACGATAAGGCCCAAGTATTAACAAATGAAAAACACAAACAATTTTCTGATTATACTGTAAAATGGTCAGCTTAGCCGTGTGTTTTTTATGGCAATAACCTTACTTGACAAGAAAGCTTGTGACATATTATGCAGATCTTTTCAAGTAATGAGGGGAAACAGTTCTGACATGGCAAGACACGCCATGTGCTCATCTCCAAGCAAGAGGGTTAGCATTACGTTCTTTCGAGTTCGATCCGACACCAACCAAGTTCATTCACCACCAACTGCTCCCCAGGTTGGTCCAATGACACTATGGCAACCGAGTGTACCAGTTCCATATAAAATGTCAAATGGAGCTCTTAATGGCTATGAGGTACTGGATATAATGCCAAAACTGGCATGGGAGTCGTCCAAGGTCCTGTGGTCATGCTAACTCCCGTGCGTCCAATGGTAATGTGCCCTAAAAAACTTCCTCGTGACGGTACGGGCGTCTTCTTGCCCTGGACCATTCAATCACAAAAGCCTACTAAGCACCTTCCACCCAGTTCCCAGAAAGGAAACATGCTTGCATTACCTCCTTTTGTTGAAACCAATGTAACAGAATCAACCTTCGATCAATGTTAAAACGAAATTCGGTATAAGTTAAAGCATTAGTTCAAGCGGTTTAAGTACTGTAAGAGTTGGTTTGTCTTTTCCCTTTCATTTTTTTTTCCTTTCACTCTTCTCTTTTCCACATCAAAAGTAGGTTCAATCAATTCGTGAACAACTTGTTGAAATGTCAAGGTAGAGCTTCAGAGGTAGCAGAGCTTTTAAAAGTTGGGAGTGTGAATTTGCTCTACTGACAGGCCATAAATTTTGTATTAAGTTATTAATATTCTTTTACAGACAATATTAAATTATGGTTATCTATTTTATATCTCTACCACCATGTTTGAAGATAAATGTTGCACATTCGTTCATACACTGTATTACAATAAATTCATTTTTAGTCTTGAAGTATCCTTCAAGTAATCATTAATGGCCAACAGGTTGAAGTATCTCCAATGTCTTCCCTTATTCTTCCAAAGATTGAACCGGCGAGCCATACAGATCATACGGTGCCCAAAGATGATCGACGGCACATGGCTTCCTCGAGTCGAGCCTCAACCAAGGCTTCCCTTTGCCACTCCAATGCAACAAACTGATAGGTCCGGGATGCAAACTCCTACACTTTCCGTCAATGTTATCTCCCCCTAGTCCATGTTGGTTCCACCTATGATGAACGGCTTTTATATTCCCAGCTAACACCAACAAAAATGGTGGCAACGAACCCAAGGTGTATATCCTCTTCTGCTTTTGCATCGCCATCCACTCCTCCACTTTTGCCGCGTATCTGCCTTGCCTCCACTTATCAACATCCACCACCATGACCCCCGTGTTGAAATAACACGGCTGTCTTCCGTTGAAAGTGCTAGACAATTCCTTGTCCGACCAGAACAAGTCCGTGAAATATTGTTTGAAATTCACGTGGCAATATTCAGGTGCAGCCAACACTTTGCCATCTAAATTGACTTCCCAGAGTTTCATGATGTCGTCCACCACAACGATGTCGGAATCCAAGTATATTACGCGCTTAACATCCGGCGGTAGTATATCGGCGAGGTAAATCCTAGCATAGTTCAAAGGCTGATCGAGTGCTTGACGTATGGATCTCGATATCTTTCCGCGAACACGGTTGGGGTTGAAGCGGTAAACTTTGAAGTTGAGGTAAGGGAAGGTGGTGTTGATGGTTCGGAGCACGTTGGTATCATACTTCCCACACAAGAAATGGAATTCCATGTTTTCGGGGCACGTTGAATGCTTGAGGATGGAGAGGACAGCAGCCATGGTGCCCCTGAGGTAGTTTGCGTCCAATGTCATGGCAATGTGGATTGTTTTGGAAGCATTGGAGCCACAATCATCCCCGTTGCGGAACTTCGGGGCCTCCCTGAATGTCGAAACATCGGAGGATGATTTTCGGATGATGCTGCCATAGTGGATTCTGGTTGCCAAGGTGGATGTGGTGACGACGAGGAGGAAAGACAGGCGGCCGAAGAGAGGGACAGCCATCCTGTCTTTGAGGGGAGGTTTTGAAAAGAGTGTGGTGTGTGAAGGGAATCAGAGGCCACGAGGCGAGAGGATATCAACCATTTTTGGAAGGACAGCAACGAAGAAATGATTGAAAGGTTTTTTGGTTAATTTTGTTTACATTTTAAAGACATTGGAAGGCCATATTTTGGTACACAATGAGAGGAAAAGAAGAATCCTCGGACTATTTGGAAACTGCGGAGACAAAACAAATCCATCTTCTTGGTTTTGTATTTGTTTTGGTCGACAAAATTTTAAAATTAAATTTATTTAAAATTATGTATAATGGTACGAACTAAATGATCTCAATAATAAATAAAATGTTGTTATTCGTTAAGATTTCAGGTTAGAACACAAAAAAATATCAATAATATGAGTTTATAATATCAAATAATTGAAATTTAAGAATTATTTTTAAACATAACCTACGTTGTATTTAACTCGTATTAATAAAAAATTAATAAAATTATGTCCGTAGAACCAGCCGACCAAATTAGGTAAATTAGCATGTAAAAAAGAACCGGGAATGAGCATGATTTTTTTTTTTGCGTTGACGTAAAACTGTCTTTTCCCCCTCCTGCAATAAAGGTGGATTTATGATTTTTTTGCATTATTTACTTACAAACGGAACGAAGCTTGAAAATGTTGGTTAATCTATGCCTAATATATATTATTAATTTAAAGTGCCCACAAATATTGAAAATACTATTGAGAATGAGTATTTAAAGTTTAGATTATCCACTTTCTTGTTGAGTAAAAGAGAACTAAGGGGCTGCTTGTTTATTTCAGAATAATTAAGCGTTGAATGATTCAATGGCCTGAATGATTCAGAGGCTCTGTATGAATTAGCTATGAATGTGACATGTTGTTTGATAATGGCTCAGAATCATTCAGAATGTACTTTGATGCTGAATCATTCATCACTGTTTTACTGAATCATTCAACACAGTCTTCATTCAGAGATTAGAAATAAACACGCTGAAATGATTACATTCAGAGCCAAACAAACAGCCCCTAAATGTAATTTTTTAACCATTAGTATTTCCGTAACTGTTAACGGTTAGTGGCTTAATTGATAATAATTAAATTATTAAGTAATTTGATTGATAAAATTAAAAGATTAATGGTCAAAGTAAAAGGACTATATAGTTAGGTGGTCAATGTTATAATTTATCCTTTAAATAAAATAATTAAAAATATATTCTTATTTCAATTTAATTAAAAATTATATTAATTACTTGTTTTTCTTCATCGGGTATGCCTGTCTGGGTATCTGCTTCATTTGTTGCGTCTGCAGACGAAAAACGCGGGATTGTTATTTTTGAAATTGAAAGAAGAAATGGATAAACGCCATGATCGTAGAATGGCGTCGAGTTCATTATGGATGATCAGCACTTTCTCAAACAATTCTTATTGAAATCCATCTTTCGATGTTAAAACTGGCACCGATTAAACGACATCACTCGCTCTTGTACCACCATGATTCCCACCAAACCTTCACAATCTTTTATGACCATAATAGCCCCACGGTTGAACTGCAATTACTCGACTCTTCCTAATTAATCAGGAAATGGAGAATTTCTGTTAAGATCAGTAGTTGGCCGTTAGTGGTTTCCCATTATTATGGAGCTTTAGGATATAAAAAAAATCATTTTTTTATTTATAAAAAAAATCATTTTTTTATTTATAAAAAAAATAGCTTTCTTGGGTGTCAATTCGAAATTCCTTTTTTTTTGGGGAAAATTTGGATTTGGAGCGAACTGGGTATTCGTAGATTTTAATGGAAATGAAAACCCTGGAAAGGGATTTTTTTCGTTGTTTCAATCTGATCTGATGTTGGTGGTATTAAAGAGCTAATCTTCTCATGGGGAATTTTCTTGCAGGATTTCTCTTGCCTCTGCTGCTCCTAATTGGTATGTTTTGTTTCTTATTCTCATTACTTTAATTTCCTTTTACTTCCTCATAAATTGATCTTCTATGTCTAAGAGACTGAAAGTTTCATCTTTTTTTTCCCTCCATTTTTCTTCCTTCTAATAGCATTTCATTTTATGATATGTTTGTGTTGGAATCCACAATGTGTACGCGTTTATGTGAGCTATTTTTATGATTGTGTGCGTGTTTATCATTATACCTTAGTTGTCTGGATAAGTTATCATTCTTGGATGCTGTCCCATAAGGATATGACTCGGTTCCAATGCCATGATGGATATGTTAGGAAGTTAAGAGAGTTTGAATTACTTTCTAGCCTTGTAAATTATCCAAGCTGGTATTAGTCCTAGCCCGAGTTCAGGTGGAGAACACCAGTCCTTTTATTATTTAAATGTATCATGTTCTGTTCAGTTCATTCCATTTATTGTTTGGATATTCTTTTGTGTTGAAACAAGTCAATCTTGACCTAGACAAGTATCATAAGCATAAATTTTGACTTTTAAGACTGCTGAAATCTTGGATGGATACTTGAACCCAGTTTAAAATTTTGACTATTCTGCTATTATTCAACTGGTTTTTTTCACTTTGGAACCTGAAACGATAACAAGTTTTCTCTTAGTTAAAAGTCACTTGAAAGCAAATACTTCATTGGTACTCGTGTTATGGAGGTATAGGTTGGTTGTTAATGGACTTTGAGTCCTGATATTAAGCAAAATACCACAGTTTTTATTAATTGTTAGAAGCTGAGAGAGTTTTAAACGGATAACTTACAAAAGTTCTACACAGTATACTCGCATGGGAAAAATCTTCACATAGTGCTTATATTATCATCTATAATCTTTTACGAGTTACTGTTTAGAGGCTGCAATTTATTGTGTGTAGGCCAAAAAAATATACATGTGCTAAGCCATCATAACTAATGGATTTTACCTGTTTTTCTTTTCTTGAAGCTGCATTGAGCAACTGGAGTTTGATCTCTCTTGTTGATTTGATAGCTTTCCTTCTCATTCAGTATACTGCACCTAAAATAGGTAAGCAATGAAAATTTTCTGTAAAGGTTTGCTTTATTGTTGAATTTCTATAGTTATACTATTCCATAAGTCAGCAGGGTCATACTTGTTTGACATTTTTGCTCTAGATTTATATTTGGTTGGTGCTTTAGATTTTGGTGAAGTTATATCTAATGAACTTTACAAAGTTCATAATTGTAGTTTCAGTGGCAACAGTCTTTAATGCTAAAGAATCCCGTGTCCTTTTATATCTGTTATTTCTTTTATTATATATATTTAAGAAAATTAGTGAAGGGTTTTGAGGTATTTTCTAGACAACTTGCACTTTAGAAGTTTAACTTCTGTTTCTGATTATTGTTCCTTAATACTTTATTTGGAGTTATCCTCATTTCATATAAAGTAATTTAGGACTATTTTCTTGTAGGATTTCGTTTCCGGAGGCAATATTTGTTACTTTGGCCAGTTATCATCTTTTCCCTACTTGTTTTTCTTTCACAAGCTTTATATCTCGTTGTATGGGCTGTTAAAGGTTACAAACAGAGCGTATGTGAGGCTTGGTGGATGAAACTAATTGGTTTTATGATGTAAGAATATATTTTTGTTTTTCTCTAGTTCCTTTGTCCCTTAAACGCCACAGAAAATTTGTCAATTTGTCCTATTTGCGCATGCTTTTGCAGAATCCAGTCTTGGAAATGTCCTACTGTGGTTTATTTCTTGATCGTACAACTGCTAGCGGGATTTGTTGCTTTGCTTGATATACATGATAACAGATTTGGTCTTCTCCCATGGCAGTATTCTTGTTGGAGTCGTTTCTTAACAGCTATTGAACATTTAGGTTTGTAAGTATTTCCTTATTTTTCTAATTGTTTTTGATGTGGTTGTATTGTTGCACTCTGTACTCTCCCCAACCCAGGAAGGGATCCATTTAACCGATCCATATGCATGTTGTGTGATTTGCTCATTATGCAGAGGATATGAGAAAGAGCTGATTTTATTCATTTTGTTATTTAATCATGCTCAACACCCCTTCTCCCAGTTATGCCCTTCTAAAGCAGCTCCAATGTCTTGTTTTCATTGTGATTGATGATAGTAGTTTCTTGTGATCTTTGGATAATTCTCTACTTCTCTTTTGCCTTCTGGACTGGAGGTGAAATTATTGAGCTGTGTAGCCTACTTGAGTGCTTATCAATTAGCCATTAGGATCTTTAAAACAACAGTTTGTCTCATATGATTGAGTCAGATGTAAAGTTTCTGTCTCAATCATTGCGCTGTGAGCACAAATGCTGGGTATTTCATGCATCATAGCTCTGTAGTATCTATGAGTTGCATCCTTGCAAATTGGTGATATCAATATATTTGCAGAATGAATTAATAATACATAAGGTGTCAGCCTGATAGGCTACTATTTCATGGGTTAGCAACTTAAATAATCTCACTGCTTAGTCGAATTCGCTCTACTTTATACTTTCTACGTATAAATCTCAGTGCCCGTTAAGCCTTTTTTTTAAAGGAGGTGTACTTGTGTTTGTCTCTTTAAAGAAAACAAAAAATAAGTTAAATTTAAAGAATTTCTTTCCTAATCTTTTATTTTTCCTTCAGGTTCTAAAAACCACAGGTGGAATTTTTTGCCACCCCAAATATTTATATTTAAATTAATACTGATAGAATTATTTCCATGGTTTCTTTCTTGAAAGGTTCCCATCTTAGAGTTGCTTCCTGTTTACTTCTGCCTGCTATTCAGCTGGCTGTGGGAATTAGCCATCCTTCATGGGTTTCTTTGCCATTTTTTGTTGGTAGCTGCGTTGGGCTAGTGGATTGGTCTCTGACAAGCAATTTTCTAGGACTTTTCAGGTGATTGCCTAGTGACTTTTTGTACACTACTGACCAGTGTTCTATGTACTATCTTCTTCAATGAATTTATGTTTACCATCTGTTAGTACCTTTAGTAGCTTATGTTTTGGTACTTTCTTCTAGGTTCTGGAGGGCTCTCCAGCTTTATGCAGGCTTCATCATTGTCTTGCTTTATTTGCATCAGCTCCCTTTAGAGTTTCCAAATACGTTACAAAGGATAGCTGAATTTGTTGGTCTATTCAAAATATCTTCAACGTCTGAGTGGCCTGAAATTTGCTCCGCTGCTTCTCTTCTACATTTTTACATCATGGTATGTAGGAGTTGTATTACTATATATTTGATTTCATAAGATTCTAGCTGAACCCTTAAATGAAATGCAAAACACTCTTCCCTCTTCCTAGAATCTTGGATTATGCTGCTACTTCATTGTACTCTATCTTGTATCTGATTTGTCCTTATGATTTAGTATTTTCTTGATATTACAATTTTATGATGGTTTGAAGTGTTCCCCCCCCCCCCCTCTAAATTTCCCAATGTAGGTATGATTGTGTCAAAAATTGTTAAGTGGTGCTATCCCACCTTTGTCGAGTATGGGTTTCTTGTGGGTATTATGTTCAAGTCAGGTCTTTCCATCTACCAATTGGTTCCAGGTAGGCTGCTTTACATGGTATTAGAGCCTAGGTTCTGTTATGTTCTTCCTGCGGAACCTCAACTGAGATTGACAACCTCTAGTGAGGTTGTCTATACGTGGGCTCTGTGAGCTACGTATGAGGGGAGAATATTACTCAAGTGGCATTACCCAACTTCTGTTCTTGAGCTTCCTGTGATCTTACATTAAAAGTGTTGTTAAGCTTTTAAATATTTATACTGTTTTCGTCTGGGTGTATAATCCTTCTATTTAAATATTCCGACTTGGAGTGCAGCTATCCTATGTCAAATATGATTTGGAGGAAATGGATGTTATCATGTCCATGCAAGAAAGTAACTTGACAGAGCAACTACTTCCCTCAAAGCATTCATTCTTCATTCGTGAATCAAGGTAACACACATACATCTTGTGTTTTGTTATTTGAATGCTTCAAAAGAGAGAATATTTATGCATACACCATAAATTTCAAACTCAAGGGTCTTTGTTTTCTTCATAGATTTAGTTCTTTCTTGCATCTTTAGTATAGAAGTAGCTTTTTGATTCAAACAATCATTTATACCATTGTATCTGTTTTTGAAGTTCTCCTTTTCTTAGCCTAAAAGTGTTTATTTTATGATTTACCATTTTGAGCAAGCTTTTCTACCCTGATAGGAAGATGAAGTAGTGAGAGGATACTAAGAAAAAGAGGGAACAACTTTTCTTTTTCAAAATCATTTATTGTCTCAAAATTATGTTTGAGAAGCCATCATTTTGAATTATTTGAATTACCACCTTAATTCACAATTTCCTTTTCCGCTAGCTTTATGCTGTTTTTTTAACCGACATATGTACTATCAGTTTGATAAACTACATTGGACAAAATGTTCATGCATCATTTGTGCTTCTACTCCTGTTTTTGAGGAAAAATAAAGAAAATTTCACGCATTAAACAATGGATTGTTTTGAGTTATGTAATGACTACAGCTAATTCTCCAGATCTGGTGTAAGGCATACCAATGTTTTACTACGACAGGCAGTTTTCCGGACTTTCACCATCAACTTTTTCACTTATGGTTTTCCAGTATGATCACAACCTTATACTAGATGTTGCTGAACTCTCCTAGGTCTTTATTTAATTTTATTAATATTGAGGTTTGTATGTAATTTTTCAGTGGAAACTTTACAGGTATCCTTATTTGCTCTTTCCTTCTGGAGTTTTCATTTTGCAAGTCTATGTGCTTTGGGGCTACTTGTATATGTTGGTTACATTCTATACTCCTTTCCTTCCCTGTTTCATTTACACCGTTTAAATGGGCTCCTTCTTGTCTTCATTCTTTCGTGGGCTGCTAGCACCTATATATTCAATGTGGCATTTGCATTCTTGAATAGGAATTTTGGGAAGGTACTCCTCTCTTTTGGAAGTTTGCAGATTCTTCTTTATCGTACATTTAAATGGTTCAAATTTCATTTTTCTTATGTTTTATCGATCTCTGGTCGCATGCAGGATATGGAAATTTGGGATATGATTGGATTTTGGCATTATCCCATACCAGGACTATTTTTGCTTGCACAGTTTTGTCTCGGAATTCTGGTTGCTTTGGGTAATCTCGTAAATAACTCGGTTTTCCTCTACTTATCTGATGAGGCTGCACTATCATCAAACAACTGTTCTGTGAAAGGTATGAAGATCTATATTCTGAATGCTATCTAATTCTTTTTTGGAATATGCATTTGAGGACGATTAATAGATTGGCTTCAGAATATATCTCTATGATTCCTCAGAAAGGATGTAATTCTAGAGTTGTGTGCATATATGGAGTGAGATTTCTATTTTACAACTGCAAGCTCCAATACTTTAGTTTCTTTTGTTATTATATCATTTAAAATTTTTGCTTTGATGTTCTTGCTTCCAGATAGCAGATAAAACATATTACTTTCTTAGGTTTTATTTATTATATCTGTGTTACAAATATACAGGCTAAATTTTAGGGGTGATATATATTGTATCTAATGTATGATATTTCCTAGTTATGTATGATATCACTTTACATATTATAGGGTTTTATACTTGTATATATACCAATATAATGTCGATGAATAAAATACAAGAAAACATTCTCTTCTTAATATTTTACAATCTGCTACTAGGGTATAATCATTAGACTGCTACTTTCCTATTTCTTATCTATTTTGAGATTGTTCATGGATGCAAAAGGATGTTAATTATACTTTTAATCTATATATTCATTTTATCATATCCTTTACTTTCAGTGGATGGAGAGACCAAGGTATTCATAGTGGCTACAATTGCATGGGGACTACGGAAATGTTCTCGAGCAATCATGCTTGCTCTGATATTTATCATAGCAATGAAACATGGATTTATCCATGATGTATACAGTATGTTCTATTAAACCTTGTCTGTTATAGTACTTAGTTAAGTTAAAATTGTCATTTATCATAAGGATTTTGCCCAATGTTCTTGGAGGATTCACATAAGCAAGTGCAAATTGATATTACTTTTGAGTTTATCCATGGTAATTTCTAATTGGCTTCATGTTCTTACCTCTGCTTCAGTAATTTTCTTTTTGATCTATCTTTTGAGCCACAACATCAGCAGAAAGATACGTGGGTCTCTGATTCTTCTTTGTGAAGCTCACTTTGCATTAGTATACCTTCTTCGGATTGATTTGATCTCTGATGCTTTGGAGCAAAAAGGCTCCTGGAGTATGGAAATAATGTCACATTTAGGTATGCTTTGTTTTATTTGCTTGTTGACTTAAGATGGAAGGATGGAATTCTTTCCCGGGAAAGAGGAACAGACTAAACTATCTTCTCTAAATTGATGCAGGTCTCCTTAATCAAAGCTCGGGGAACTTTCTGGAAATAGCTTTGCTTTGTTGCGTCTGTGCAATTCATAACCGTGGATTTGAGGTGCTATTTTCATTCTCAGCAATTGTGCAGCACAGCCCTTGTCCTCCTGTTGGGTTTAGCATCTTGAGAGCTGGTTTAAACAAATCTGTCCTCTTGTCAGTATATGTATCCCCAAATACATCCTTCTGCCACGATAATCTTTCTTATGGTATAATCTCCTTTATGCCTAAAAAAGGGTTCAGTTTTCCAATATTAGTGGCAAATGCTACAATAAAATTTACCTACTTGTCCTTCATTTTTAGCTTATGTGAAATGAATATGGGCAAATCATGGTCATGATGTGGTTGTACAATCTTTTTTATACGTCTGTGGTTGTACTCTAGATAGAGCACTTGGTAAGTTGCATGCTCAACAATTTATTCGAAGGTTATAGCAAATGGAATTGTGGAAATTAGTACAAGTTGATATATACCCTGTATTAGTGGGTTTTATGGATCTAAACATAATAGAAAATGGTTTTAGAATGTCTGGACTCTAGCGGGTTCTTAGCCTGATCTTGAGATGACTGTTTTCTCATGAAAATGGAGTCTTAAAGATCTTCAATAATAGATATACATATTATAGTGTGATTGCTTCTACTGATTTGTTTATCAACATTTCTAGCACCCCTTTTACCTCTACTGCTCTATTGACAGCATTATGTACTTATTTTTTTTATGTAATTTCAGAGAGAACGATAGCATCATTCCTTAGTGGAATTGGGCAGAATTTTTTATCAATGTACAGAGCATGTGGAACCTACATTGCTTTGCTGACTATTCTTATTACTGTTCTCATGGTAACACCCAACTATATATCATTTGGATACATCTTCCTTCTTCTTGTCTGGATTATTGGAAGACAACTTGGTGAGAGAACAAGAAGGCGCTTATGGTTTCCATTGAAAACATATGCTGTCACGGTGTTCATTTTTATCTATAGCTTAAGCAGTTTTACCAGCTTTAGGATTTGGTTGTCTGGATTTATGGATCTGTATTTTTATTTGGGTTATGATCCTGAAGCTTCGTTGTTGGATAATATTTGGCAATCTCTAGCAGTTTTAATTGTGATGCAACTTTATAGCTATGAAAGGAGAAAGAACAAGTACAAGACTGGCTTTGCCAATCCTTTAGATTCTGGGGTTCTTGGCTTTACTAGGCGATTTCTGATTTGGCACAGTCAGAAGATCCTGTTTGTCGCATTATTCTATGCGTCTTTGTCTCCAATTTCTGCTTTTGGATTCTTGTATCTACTTGGCCTTGTCATATTTTCAACTTTACCTAAGGCTTCTCGGATTCCATCCAAATCATTCTTAGTTTATACTGGATTTCTGGTCACAACTGAGTATCTTTTTCAGATGTGGGGTAAACAAGCTGGAATGTTTCCAGGGCAAAAACATTCTGATCTGTCACTCATTCTGGGTCTCCGTTCATATGAGATGGGATTTTGGGGTGTAGAATCGGGCTTGAGGGGAAAGGTGCTGGTAATTTCTGCTTGCATCCTTCAGTACAATGTTTTCTTTTGGTTGGATAATATGCCAAGTGGTATTTCAAACAGAGGCAAGTGGGATGAGCCTTGTCCCTTATTTTTGTCAGCGGAGGATGCCTTCACTAATGGCTTCTTGTTTAATAGGGAAGATATATCATCTTCTGTTGGAATGGTACCTATAAGAGAAGTCAGAGAAGCAAACAATTCGTGGTCATCTTTGAATGCTGCTTTATCTCAAGCAACTCCTACTGTGTCCTCCAAAGCAGGAGGCTCTGAGGTTAGCAGCATGGGAAAATGTTCATTCGGATATCTTTGGGGAAACAGCAAGGAGAGTCATAAGTGGAAAAAGAAGAGGATCCTTGTTTTAAGGGAAGAAAGAATCGAAACTCAGAAAGCTCTCCTAAAAATATATTTGAAATTCTGGACAGAAAACATGTTTAACCTTCTTGGTCTTGAGATTAACATGATTGCTTTGCTTCTTGCAAGTTTCGCTTTGTTGAATGCTATATCTATGATATATATTGTGGTGCTTGTTGTTTGTGTCGTTTTGGATCGCTGGATAATACATAAATTATGGCCGGTGCTTGTATTCTTATTTGCTTCCATACTCATCCTTGAGTATATTGCCCTCTGGAAGAGTATGTTTCCTCTGAATCAACCAAATCAGACTGAAATACGTTGCCATGACTGCTGGAAAAGCTCATCTTCATATTTCCAATATTGTAGGAGCTGTTGGCTAGGTATTGCTCTCTTAATCCATATACTAATTGCACCTTAAATAGGAAGACAAGCAAAGAACAGTTCATACTTTTCTTTTTTATTCCTAGAAGAAAATTTGACTTATTTTAATGATCTTTGTCTTATCATTATCCTGTATGCTACTTGGACATGTCTTAAATCCTTTTTTTTCTTTCCCCTGTTGGTAAGAAGTTTGGTATATTTCATTTCGGTATTTAAACAACTTTTAGACTGCTTTATAACTTGTCTTTAATTTGCTTATACTTGGAAGAGTTGATATAATTCCTTCTATGTCAATGGTCCATGTTTATCTATCGATTTTAAATGTGTTCCATGTTCACTTTAAAGAAAGTTCAAGCATCTGCAAGTGATTCCCCCTTTTCCTGTAGGACTGATCATTGATGAGCCCCGAATGCTTATAAGCTACTTTTTGGTCTTTCTGCTGGCGTGCTTCAAACTTCGTGCAGATCAGTCAGCATATTTCTCAGGGTCATCAACATATTTGCAAATGATGTCTCAACATGAAAATTTATTTGTTTGGCGAGAACTCTCTTTTGAAACCAAAAGCACATGGACCTTTCTTGACTATGTAAGACTTTATTGTTATTGCCATCTATTGGACCTTGTCCTGGTACTGATTTTGATTACTGGAACTCTTGAGTATGATATTCTGCACCTTGGTTATCTTGCTTTTGCTCTTTTATTTTCTCGGATGAGGCTTGAAATTCTCAAGAAGAAGAATAAAATGCTCAAATTCCTGCGTATCTACAACTTTGCGGTCATCGTTCTTTCTCTTGCCTATCAATCTCCTTTCGTAGGGGAGTTTAGTTCTGGGAAGTGCAAAACTGTCAACTTATATGAAGTCATTGGATTTTCAAAGTATAACTATGGGTTTCGAATTACTTCCAGATCTGTACTTGTTGAGATTATCATATTTATGTTGGTATCTCTTCAGTCATATATGTTTTGCTCCCAAGAGTCTGATTACGTGTCAAGGTATCTTGAAGCAGAGCAAATTGGTGCAATTGTACGTGAGCAAGAGAAAAAAGCTGCATGGAAAACTGCACAGTTACAACAGAGTCGTGAATCTGAGGAGAAGAAACATCAGCGCAACTTGCAAGTGGAGAACATGAAATCTGAGATGCTTAACTTGCAAACACAGCTTCATAGCAAGAACTCAACTGCAACTCTGAGTGATGTTTCTCATGATGATAAAGGCCTACAGAGTAGAAGTGTTTCCCTGACCTCAAATAGGGATGTTGAGCCACCTGAAAAAGAGGAAAACACTCTTTGGAAGCAAGAGCGAGTTATTAAGGATGATTCAGTATTTCCACTTGATGTACATGCATATGCTGCTCATATAAAAGGAGAAAATCCTGAAGTAGTGGAACCCCCTAACAATTCAAAGGAATATAGACCTTGCGAGATCACTGAAATTGAGCATGATGCTGATTGTGCTATTTTTGATACAGGGCAAAGGAGGAAAAGCCGATCAAAGGACAATCCTTTAATTTCTGCTGTAAACTTCCTAGGTGATGGTGTTTCACACGTACAGTCTATTGGAAATCAGGCAGTTAATAACCTTGCCAATTTCCTGAACATAAAATCTGAAGATTCAGATATGAATGAGGGCTTCTATGTCAAGGGTGAGGCATATGATGAGTCAGAGAGCCAAAAGATGCAGAATATGCATTTGAACAATTCTTCTTCTCGGCAATCTGATAAAAGATCCGATGCTACAAGTTTGCAGCTGGGAAGGATCTTATGCCATATATGGTCCCGAATGCAGTCTAATAGCAATGTTGTGTGTTACTGCTTATTTGTCCTTGTCTTTATATGGAACTTCGGTTTGCTTTCCATGGTGTATCTTGCAGCTCTTTTCTTGTATGCTCTATGTGTGAATACTGGTCCAACTTATATCTTCTGGGTTATTATGCTAATTTACACAGAGGTTTATATTTTGCTTCAGTATATGTTTCAAATTGTAATCCAGCATTGTGGATTGAGTGTGAATTCAGACCTACTACGTAACATAGGATTTCCTACTTGTGAAATCAAGTCATCTTTTGTTGTGTGCTCGTTGCCTCTATTTCTTGTCTACTTATTTACCCTCATACAGAGCTCTATAAGTGCAAAAGATGGTGAATGGATGTTCTCTACTGACTTTAACTTCAACAGATGGAGTTCTTTTTATAGAAAAGAGGTTCTTGTGAACTACAGCTGGAGAGAAAAGGTATCAAAGTCGCTCCAATTTGTAATAGATATGGTGAAACAAGTAATTAGAAGATTCTTCTGGTACTGGAAATCACTGATACAGGGAGCAGAAACTCCACCTTATTTTGTTCAAGTGTCCATGGATGTTCACTTGTGGCCAAAAGATGGGGTTCAGCCAGAAAGGGTCGAGTCTGGAATAAATCAACTGCTCAGGGTAGTTCATGATAAGAGATGTACTGAAAAAATCCGAGGCCATTGTCCACTTGCAAGTAGGGTTCAGGTTCAAAGCATTGAAAGAAGTCGAGAAGATCAAAACGTGGCTTTGGTTGTTTTTGAGGTGGTTTATGCATCTCGTTTGATAGGATGTATGCCAGCAGGTTGGTACAAGTCTCTAACTCCAGCAGCTGATGTGGCAAAAGAAATTCTCCAGGCACGGCATGCTGGGTTTGTTGAAGAGATGGGATTCCCGTACCAAATACTCTCTGTAGTTGGTGGTGGAAAAAGGGAATTTGATCTCTATGCTTACATATTTGTTGCTGATCTTACTGTATTTTTCTTGGTTGCAATTTTCTACCAATCTGTCATAAAGAACAATAGTGATCTTCTAAATGTTTATCAGCTAGAAGATCAGTTCCCTATAGAGTTTGTTATTATCTTAATGGTAAGTCTATTTCTTCTCTCTCTTCTTAACCACCTTGATTTACACGAGTATTTATCATGGCTTAGTTGTAATTTTCTTTGCGTTCTCTCTTAAGCTATCATGCCTAATATATTGTGATCTAAATCCTAATTCAGTCAAATTCTTTCATGCATCATCTTTTTCTTGATTGTTGTTGATCGCATACTTTATCTCTGTTCATTCGCCACAGGAAAAGTTATTTTCTATCTTTTCAATCTTGTTCTCTTCACGTATTCAATTACAAAGTGTGCTTGGCAGATGGAACCTTCTGGCCAGCATGCTGGACGGCTAGCACTCCGTGCTATATTTCTTGCTAAAGCAGTTTCTTTAGCACTTCAGGGTGTACAAATTCGACATGGAATTCCTCAGAAAACCACCTTGTATATGCAGTTTTTGACCAGCAAGATTTCAAGAATTAATTACCTAGCCTATAGACTTTATCGGGCTCTACCATTTCTTTATGAATTACGATGCGTACTCGATTGGTCATGCACAACGACGTCATTAACCATGTATGACTGGCTCAAAGTAAGTCCATAGCATTTTTCTTATATTATTAGCATTTTTATTTAGCCGCGTGCGAAAACTTAAGTTGGTTTAGTTGCCTGCCCCTTTGGAAATTATACACCAACTGTAATTGAGGAAATATTTGGAATATCTTACTATGAGCTCATATTGGCTTAGATTCAAGAAATTTAGTTGTTTTTAGGGTAGGGAAACAGGCTAAGCTTTAGGCATTAAAGGGGTGGAAACATACAGGTTTAGGACCTTTTTAGTTTCCGGAAACAGAGGTTAAGTCCTGGAAAATTCTTTTAGTGATAATCTCACAAGTATGTGCACCTGGTTTAGGACTGCAGACGCAGAAAAAGAGAGAATAATACTTCTCGTCTATGTTATTCATCAATATGTGCACTTGGTTTAGGACTGCAGACGCAGAAAAAGAGAGAATAATACTTCTCGTCTATGTTATTCATCACATGTATGGGTATGGATACAAATATAAAGCTCCCTACATTAATTACAATATATTAGTCCTAAGATTTAGCTTATAAAATTTTTAACACTCACCCTCAAGTTTGAGCATAAATATTAATATGTCCAGCTTGTTACATAGATAATCAATCTAGACCAGTGTTACCTAATTCGCTCCCCACCCCCACACCCCCATATATCTTGTCCCAATTCACGGTTCGTTTGCGTACCGAAATGATGAAATTAGCGTACTGAAAACCATCACACACAAAAATCACAAGAAGCCAAAGAAATAGAAACCCATCACAGCAAACCAAAGAAAATAGAAACTAATCACAATACAAGCAAAGGAAACAAAAACCCATCACAACAAAAACAAAGGAAACAAAGATAAAGGCAAGAGCTCAGTAGAAGGGGCAGTAATGAAGACTGTGTAAGGGTTGATCTTGCCGGTCGTCGGTGGTGTAGTCGACAAATTCTATTGATAGGCGTTTTGGTGTAGGAGAAGAAAGGAAGATGGAAAAGAGTGAAAGTGTGGGAAGAGAAAGAGAAGAAAGTAAAATTGAGATCTCATGAAACTCAAATAGCTCTTTTTAGTATTGTGTTTTTTACTGTTTAAGATAATTGGTTTAATTATAAACTTAGTCCTTCAATTTTATAATAACTAAAGAATTATGAAAAATATTATATTCTCACTGTTTAACATATAGACAAATTATTAAAAAAAAATTATCAGCGAACCAAAATCCATTATAAAGAAGTCTACCCACAATAAACCACAAACGGTAAAATTAACGAATTGTGATTTTATACATGTTCCGCGAATCACGAATTAGATAACACTGATCTAGACCCCTTTAAGAGTCTTTTTGAAAATATTCCTTGGTTATTTCAGACCCCATTAAGAGCGTTTCTGAAAAATATATCTAGTTATTCTCCAGTTTTCACATAATCGATAGTAATCAAGCCATATTAGATCTTCTCGCGAATGAAATGAGAATCAACCTCAATGTATTTTTTCGTTCATAAAAGACTAAATTAGAAGTAATGTTAACTGCAATTTGATTATCAGCATTGTCATAGCTCCATATATACCTCCTCTTGAAGGACTAAGTTTGAATAAACTTCCCAAATCAAGTTCAAGAACTCTGTTTAAGTCATGTAAAGATTTTTTTTCATATGACATATTTTCTCATACTCCCCTTAGCAACAAAATTAGATGATTGCTTCATATATACCTCCTCTTAAAGATCATCATGAAGAAAAATATTCTTTATATCTAACTAATGCAGAGGTTAGTCAAGATAGAATTTGACGTTAAACACTCATTTACATCCAATAACTCGTTTATGGGTAGGTAAAGTAACCAATGATTTAAGAAAAAAACATAATACTTGTATATATTTTTCATGAACTGTATGAGTATATACCCAAATATAAGCCTCCTATAATAGGTAACTTAATATCCTACATTAACTGCAATAAATTAATCCTAAGATTTAGCCTACAGGACCTTTTTAGTATTTATTTGCTAATCACTATTTTGTCACTTTGTTATCCTGGTGGTTGGTACATTTTTATCACTTGTAAGTTTGTTTTCATCTATCCCACATCAACTAAATGAGGGTTTATTGTGCCCTTATTTTCAAGTTTAATCTCTATACCATAGATAGGATGCTTGACAAAAAAACTTGGACAAAACTGGAAAATATTGCCCAAATTCTCCAAGGGCAGAGAACGAGAAGAAAGTTTGATTCTGCTCTTTAACGGTAGATGCCGAACTTTCCGAAATAACAATTGCACGACTTAGAAAAACTACTTGTTGCATGATTTCATCCGACTTGAGTATGCAATTACTACCATCAACTGGTTAATTCACCGCCTCTGCACTTTCTCGTCCAAAAGTGAAACAGAAATAAATGAATTAATGAACTCGTGGAAATTATTCTGAAAAATAAAGAAGCTCTGCGATCAATTACTTGGACCTTAGTACATGTTTTTTCTTTTTTCAGATAATGGTTTTTGTATTACTTGTTTTTTAAAGAATAGTTGCTCAGAGCTTTAGTAAACGATGAGTCTGATTGAATTGATTTCCTGATGATTATCTGGAATTAACATGTTGCTTTCTTCTCAGCTGGAAGATATAAATGCAAGTTTGTACCTTGCCAAATGTGATGCTGTGTTGAATAGAGCTACACACAAACAAGGAGAGAAGCAAACAAAAATGACCAAGTGCTGTAATGGGATATGTCTCTTCTTTATATTAATTTGTGTTATTTGGACTCCTATGCTGGTAAGGGATTTCTTAACCAGATATACTATATGCATAACATATATATATATATATATATTTCCATTTTCAGTGTAGCATCTACTACCTAGAAACTATTTCAGAAACTTCTTTTTCGGAAGGGACTCTGTTTGTTTATTGACTTTTGTTTATTGATTTGACCCAACATCAATAATGCATGCCTTATTTTTTAAAGAAATCTAGATCATCAAACATAAGTGTACCTATCCTTTACAATTATTCTCAGGCCTACGTAAAATCATGGTTCCCCAACGCAGATTAGATTCCATTGATTGAGTTTATCATGTATACTTCATACACGTGGAGTTCTTTTTATCCTCACTTTGAAGTTTATAAAATGTTGGCAGATGATCCAAGGGGCAAGGAGTTCTGTCAGAGCTGCTTTCTATTTGCTATTTTCTGAGCCCAGATGTGAATAAAACAAAGAATAAATCTAAAACTTTAAACTACAACTGTTGTATGATATTACGCTTAAAACCTGATAAAATAAAATGTTGCAATTGTTTAACTGAAAGTTATGACATCCGTATTGTATAACAGTGCATACTGGCATCAGTAATGCTGTTATTAGAAGTCGTACATAACTATGAATGTCAATAAGTCTAGCTATATTGTTACCTGTGACTAGGTGGAAGAAGTATTCTATATCTGGATCAGTCGATAAATTTTATTTTGTTCTGTTCGGCCAGATGTACAGCAGTGGCAATCCGACAAATATTGCAAATCCCATCAATGATGCAAGTTTTCAGATAGACATTATTACTAATGGAGGAAGGTTGACCTTGTATCAGACAACTCTCTGTGAAAAGCTCCAATGGGATAACCTCAATTCTGATGTTAATTTTGATGCCTACAATAAGAATGATATACAATTGATACGCTGCCTAGCTGATGCAAGCATTTTTTGGCTTGTCTCTGATGTGGTTAAGAGAAGGTTTATTGAGTTCCTTGACTGGGATAGGGACATGGTTATAACTTCTACTTGGCTGCTTACAAGAGAAAGACCAAAGGGCAAGGAAGTCGTGAAATATGAGAAACCTGTCGATTCCAAAAATCTTCCCAAACCATCAGATGTCCAAAAGGTTCTCAATGGTTCTACAATAAGCTTTAGGGTGTATAATCTCTATCCAAGATACTTCCGTGTCACTGGTTCTGGTGAAGTCAGATCTTTTGAGCAAGAGGTACACAGGACTCTTCATTTGGTTTTTCCTTTTTCACGTCCCTCTCCCTTCACAATACATCAGTTAGTACTTTTTCCATCGATAACATTTCATCTTTAGTGACATTATTAGTAAAAATGTTTCACCCTATACTCTATTGCTTCAGTTTAAGCTATTGATCATTCAGTCAATGGGGTGGGGAGACCCTAAATTATAGGAAGTTATTGTGAAAGGTGTATAATGATTAGTAATCTGTTTTTGACACCAAACCCAAATTTACAGGTAACTTCAGGAGCTATTTCAGTGAGCGCAGATCTTGTTATCAATCGTGCAGCTTTTGAGTGGTGGTCGTTCCATGATCTCAATTCGTCTAATGTAAGGAACTTCGGAGGTTGGACTGGACCGATGGCCATCGTAGTATCCGAAGAAACACCTCCGCGTAAGTTCTAGAAAACCATTTGTATGTTGCATCTGTTCTAATAAGAATATATTATGATTTTGTTTATTGAATCAATTAATATTGCGATACAACATCAGAAGGCATTCTTGGAGACACGCTGAGCAAGTTCAGCATTTGGGGTCTCTACATTACTTTTGTGCTTGCTGTTGGTCGCTTTATCAGGCTTCAGTGTTCCGACTTAAGAATGAGGATACCGTTTGAAAACCTACCTTCATGTGACAGGTACGGTTTTAATTTATCTATCAAAATCAAAGATGTATCCTTAAAAGGGTAGAGAATGGTAGAATTCCTTACTCGTAGAAGGGTAGTGGATGAAGGCACAGAGAATTATTCCACTCATTTCTTATTTCCTTGATAGCCGCTGATTCGTTTTTGGTGTAGGTTGATAGCCATCTGCGAAAACATATATGCTGCAAGAGCAGAGGGTGAGCTTGGAGTTGAAGAAGTCCTTTACTGGACCCTAGTGAAGATTTATAGGTCACCTCACGTCCTGCTCGAGTACACCAAACCTGACTAGGTTGTCGATATCGAATCCCTACAGTTTTATTTGTGAAACTAGTTTTGACTGACAGCCTGACTTACTACAACCAATTGAAATGGTTTGTGATTCTTGTTTGGTGGCCAAGAAAATCTCTGGTGGTCGTAGATTCGTTCCCCATGCAGAAGAAACACAAAATGCTACGCTTCAGAACATGAGGAACAGGCAGTATGTTATGGACTAGCAACTACAATCCATGTTCTTGCAGTATGTCATTTGCTTAGTTTCAAATTTGGTATGAGAAAGGCGTCGTTGCTTTTATATGAAGGAATGATTTCTAGGGAGGAGTTTCTTATGCTGGCCATGTACATAGATTGTACAGTATTAGATGCTCTTCTACAAATGAATACAATGATGCTATTGCTTTACAAATTTTGAAACCGTAGCCTTACATGGGCAAATATTATTTTAGAACTTTATGCCTTGTAAACAAGTTATCCGAGTTGAAGAGGAAGCTGCATTCTTCAAAAATATCTGCGCTTTGGAGATCGTCTAAGATTTTGATCCCAGTTCTGGTGTCAACTGATGATTCTGACAACTTAGTTAACAGTCTGTTAAGGTTTCTGCTGTTTTGTTTTCTGTTAATGCCTCGACCGGACCCACACTGTCTGCGCCACTGCAGCAGAACCATGTGATTATTCCAGCTTCGTGCACCATTAATGTTCTGATAAGATTTGCAGCTACCACTTTCTCAACAGCTTATTGTGACCACTTAACTTATACAACATACACTATGGACACAAAATTTTTTATTAATGGAACGAATTTCTAAAATTTTAAAGAATACCAACTTATAAAACTTTAAAAAGATCGAAAACAGACTATCAATAAATAAATACTAATAAAATACTTAAAATATATACTAATTTAAAATTTTCGGGCAAAAACCATGCGTACATATACTTATAGAGAAACACAGACACAATTATTGATGCTATACCAATATTGTCTCAACGGCAGTTGTAAAACCTCATCTTCTTTTCTGTCTTATCAAATTTTATTTGATTTATTCTGGATAACTTGGAAGCAATAATTATGGTAAAGGAGACAAGAAGAAAAAGAATTTGCTGTGAGGTAAGTTGAACTTAACAAAAACTATATCCATTATTAATTTTCCCCTCTAAACCTACATATCATCACTCTGTTTAACGAAGATCAAGTCCTTTTCATATTTACCAGCTCAAAGGGTTCTCTGATGGAGCCTTCTCTCCTTCGAATCATCAACAAATATAACAATTATAATTTTTTTTTTGGGAAAAAATATAAATAAATCATTACACTTTAAGCTCAACTTCTAGATCTCCATATAATAAAATAGTATCTGATTTTTTTTTTCTAAACAAAAAAATGGGCTTATGTAAATATTCCAAAGCTGATATTTATTTTAATATTTTAAATTTATTTAATTAAAATTTCTCCCATTTATTAATATCAACTAAAAATTAGAGAATAAAAGTAAGGCGTTAATGTGGCTATCTTTGATTGACCTGTTTTTTTTTCTCCAAATAATGTTGAAAATGGGATTTTGTGTAACGTTTTTAAAGTTTAGGGGGGCTAAATGACAAAAAAAAGGATAACTCGGTGAAATATGTATAATTTAGGGGGTAAATAGTTTATTAAGTCAAAATATTAGCATTAATTGACCAATATTATTTTTCAATCATCTATGTTTATAATTTTTTAGGGTCAATTTGATACAAACTATAAATGTAGATGACTTAAAAAATTGTTTTACGTTTTTAATTTTATAGTTATCAAATCAATAATCAACGATAAAACTAAACATAAATGTAAGAAGATTTCAATATTTTAAAATAAATTATTATAGGCGAAAAGGAGTTAGAGGTCCTATACTTAAAAAAATAATAATGTGATTGTTGTATGAGAAAATAACCTAAGTGATCAAAAATCTCAGATAATATACGATTTTGTTTCTTAAGAATTTTCTTTAAAAAGATAGTATCCGCGCGGACGTGTCGAAGACACGTATTACCATTACCACGACCACGACCACAAGACGAGACGAGACGGGACGGCGGCGGCGACGGTGCGCGAGAGTCCCCCTTGTTCTCTATCACTCAACAAGGAAGTGAGAAAGTCAAGCCTTAAATACTATTCTCAATAGTGTTTCCAATACTATGTGGGATTTGAGCATTACCAACACTTGTTCCCAATACTATGTGAGATTGAGCCTTAAATAGTGATATTATTTTTGAATGTTTTGCTTAAAATTACAATAATCGCGATTGATTGTAGATTGACTTTTAATTATGACATATTTAATCGTATAATACTAATGCAATTGGTTGCTAATTCAGTTGTTTTAAGGTGCATGATTGTTAATTGTTTCCTGAATAATCATATTGTATTGGAAACAAGTGTTGGTAATGCTCAATCCCACATAGTATTGAAAATACTATTGGGAATGATATTTAAGGCTTGGCTTTCCCACTTCCTTGTTGAGTGATAGAGAACAAGGGGGACTCTCGCGCGCCGCCGCCGCCGTCCGTCTCGGGCCGTGGTCGTGGTCGTGGTCATACGTGTCTTCGACACGTCCGCGCGGATACTATCTTTTTAGAGAAAATTCTTAAGAAACAAAATCTTTTTTTTTAAATCGTAACGACAACTGTAGACTATCGCAACGCGAAATGGAAAATCGCAACGCGAAATGAAAAATCGCAACGCGATTTTCAACTATCGCGACGCGAAATGGAAAATCGCAACGCGAAATGCAACGCGAATTTGCGATAGTGGAGATCGCAATGCGCATTAGAGATCGCATTGCGATTTTGTTGGTCATTTTCGCAAATCCAAAAAAAGTTGGTCAAAATCGTATATTATCTAGGATTTTTGGTCACTGAGGTTATTTTCTCTTGTTGTATTATTCATTTTAACGTGGCCATTTAACTCATAAAATAAGTTTAATGAGGTCTTTTGACCAACATTTTTTGTCATTGATAATTACTGTGATAACGTGTGGTCCACGGTAGTTGATAACATGGTGGATAACTTAAATTGGTAACTCAAACATGACAGGTAGACTGTCATATCAATACCGTGGACCGTCATATTAACACCATAACGATCAAATGACGAAAAATATTAGTTAAAATATTACATTAAATTAATTTTATGACACATTAACATTAAAATAATAATTCAAATGAAGCGAGGAGAATCTCCCAACAGCCAAAAGCCAAAAGGGCTTATAGGAAGAAGGTGTCGATGTGATTTAGTTGAGAAGAAAAGGAACTCACGTATCGATGATAACAGCAAATCCCAGCTGGACTTTCAGATTTAGTCCTCTTTAAATATCATTATTCTTCACCTAACCCTTACAACTCTATTTATTTATTCATTCCCTACTTTTCGTGGATGCCATTTTGTCACTTTCCCATCACAAATTTCTTATTATTTTGTTTTCATATCCATGCCATGCCATGCCATCCAGGAGCCTTACTGGAAACCTTGATGGGGGACCTCGGATGAAGCTATAATATTGCTTGCTAGCTTAAATACTATTTTTTTTTCCAAAGCTTGCTTCCATGGTCAAATTATGATTTTGGTCCTTTACCGTATTCAAATATGTAATGTTAAACATAAAGAGGAACCAAAGCTATAGTTTTACGTTTTACAAAATAATCTTAAATTCGATAGCTTTCCCATCTAAAATGTAATCCATTGAAGAAAAAAAAATCCATGATATAGGGGCTCCATTTGGAAATTGCATGGAATGAGAGTTTTAGAAGCCGGATTTCCAGTGACGTGGCTTTTCAAATAAGAATTATATTATCAATTAAATAAGGGTAGACTACACATTTAGTATATAAACTTTCATTTATTTTAAAATTATATCTAACGTTTAATTTTTGTTTCATTTTAGTATCATATTATTAGAAAATTGTTTTTTTATCGATATGGGATATGGGGTAAGTACAAGACAATATTTGTTCATAAATAACTAATTTGACATTAAATGCTCACATCTATGACATTTCTGGTGCTCGAACGCAATACCTCAAGGAATAACAGCAATTCTTTTATCACCGAGGTCACTTGGTTCGTGTCGCTGTTAAAAACATATCGTGTTTTTGTATGTGGCACCTTTTTTATTGGTAAATTGCACCATCCATCATTAAATTATCTTCTCACTCCTAGTTTGGTCACTAAAGTTTAATTTTTTTAATTAATTACTTAACTTTCAAATTACTCCTAATTTAATCACTCTAACTTTCAATATTTTTTTTTATTTTAATTATATATTAATAAAACAATAATAAAAAATTTCATGTCAAAAAATTATTAAGAAAATAAATTAGAGTGATTAACACAAGAGTAATTTGAAAGTTGAGTAGCTAAATTATTTTTTTAAAACTTTAGTAACCAAAATAGAAGTGAAAAGATAATTGAGTGATGAATGGTGTTATTCACCCATAAAAATGCAGAGTCGTTCAAATTTAATGATAAATAATTAAAATAAAATTAAAACTAAACGTTCAGTATGAATTAAAATAAATAAAAATTTAGATACTAAAATGAAATAAATTGATAATTAAAGTAATAAAAAGGTTTACCCATTAAATAATGATTGGAGTTGTTGGCTGCCTCTTTCAATTATATAATATCTCATTAATGTATTTTATAAATTAATGTATCATACTCAAATTTAAAGTTCAGTTCATGAATTTTAATTTTACGTAATTTATGATATTATCAGTTATTTAAATAATAGTTAATCATTTCAGATAATGTTTTAAGAAAAAAAAAATAAGGATAACAGTGGTCATTATAATTACAAATAATCAATTTTTTACGGTTATTTTTTAAATGAATTTAGATATTGTAAATTTGAATATGTTTGAATTTAGATATTTTATTTTATTATTCGTAACGAATTTAAAACAGATATAAATATTAGTAGTTTTTTTATTTGTTTGAGGTAATATAAAGTAGTATATGTTTAAAAGATTCTTAATCATTTGATAATAAACGATCGTACATTCTTATAGACGTGATGCTCAAAGTAGAGACATCAAGAGTAACATTAATCCATTAACTACTGAGTCCCTTTTATACGTAATATTAATAGTTGAGTGTTCATTATTTAATTCTATTTTTATAAATTATAAAATTTTCCTTTACTGTTAAGGTAGTTTAATTCGTGCTTATAAATTATAGATTTGAATATCAATCCTTCAAAATTCCTTTAATTTTACAAATGGTTAACCTGTTTTACATTTTAAAATTTATTTGGACTCACAAAATACGATTTTTGACGAATTTAGACATTTGGTGAATTACTTAATTAATTTGAATTGATGGATCTAATGTAAATGATAAATTGATTCAAATTTTAAAACATATTTGCAAATTAAAATTTTACACATATTGCAACATACCTAATAGTGTCATCTTTAGAAAAGATGAAGTAAACATTTTAATTTGAATAATGAATAATATTAACTATTTGAACTTATTTACAGGGCGTGGCTGATGGTGTGCAAAGTGTGCCCAAAAAATAGGGGCTCAAAAATAAGTTCGAGATTTAAGGGTCCCTTTATAAGAATTTACACAGGACCTCCAACAACATAGCCACGACCCTGCTTACTTATTATAAAATAGATGAATTAAATTGTATTAAATTAAAATATAAAGGCAGAATTATAAATATAAGTATAACAAAAACATTAGAATCTTATTCTGATAAAAAAAATTAGTGTAAGATACATTAGTTGTAAAATTAAAAAATACCCACAAAAGAATTAACAAATTTATATTCTTTTTTTGTTATTTTAATTAATGTAATTTAAATACATTTAACAACTTTCTAAAGTGGTAAAGATTTTTAACTTCACTTGCCAAAAATATATATATTAAATTAAAAGAGGCACAAATTGCAATATATATATATTTGGAGAGCAGTCGGCAATGTTTCCTTACCCTCCTCTCTGTATTGGAAGCAGAAAAGTCACATTCAACCCTTGCTTTACTGCCACGTGTCAGCTACCCTTTCCTGGAAGTCAGCTTCTTCTCTTCCACTCCTAACAGAAACCAACCAGCCAGCCATGTTTTATAACCTAATCTTTGCTTTGATGCCATGAAACTGTTTATTATTTCTTTCTTTCAAACTCTTTGAAAACTCCTGTGTAACTCTTTCTTCTCTCATGCAATCTTCAAAAGCTTTACAACCCATTTTGTTCACAACCCACTTCTCCACCATGCTCAAGCTCCTCAACAAGAGAATCAAGCGTCTCTGTTCCAGCCTCCGGTGGCCTGTTCGCCGCCGGTCCAAGTCTATAATCGTCATCAAAAGGCTTCGGAAATCAGACCCCAAGACTCGGACCGATAATGGATCTTCCAAAGTTCACCAAGATGGACAAAACTCGTCGAGGCCCATACGTATAGCGACTTTCAATGCTTCCCTGTTTTCTATGGCCCCCGCAATTCCTATAGCAGATAAGTCTTCGAGTTTAGATTATGACAATGGTGGTTCTCCGGATGGTAGGCGCTCAAAGTCCACGAGTGATGGACCAAAAAGTATACTGAAGCAATCTCCCCTGCATCCCATGAACGACAAGGAGAATCTCTCCCGCCAGAAAAAATATGCGAAATCCAGGCAAAGGGTGTCGATCGATTTACCGGACAACGAGATATCTTTGTTGCGGAATCGGCAACTGAGCTTTGCAGAAGGACGTGAAAAGGATGGTTCTTCAAGTAGAACTTGGAGAGGCAAATCTCCGTTGAGATCAGCAGTGAGTTTTTCTGAAGATATGGGAAATAGGGTCGATGGTTCCGAGAGTTTTAGAAGCCGAAAGACTGTGTTTGAAGTGTTGAGGGAGTTGGATGCTGATATATTAGCTCTACAAGATGTGAAAGCAGAGGAAGAGAAAGCAATGAAGCCATTGTCCGATTTAGCTGCTGCTTTGGGGATGAACTATGTGTTTGCCGAGAGCTGGGCGCCGGAATACGGCAACGCCGTACTTTCCAAGTGGCCAATCAAGCGATGGAAAGTGCAGAAGATCTTTGATGATACAGATTTCAGGTCAGTCTTGTATTTTTCTCTGTTACGATTCATATTAAGGAATCATCATTCTATAACTGCTGGCTTCCTGGAAATTTTATTATTCCAAGTAACATTCAATCTTACTTGCGTGTGGGAAATCTGGGAATGATGCATGTCACCAAACACGCAGTTTTTGGCTATGTCTTTTTTCTTGTGGGAAAATGATCAAATTACGACAAATATAAGTAGTTAAACTATAGCTGTTAGTAGTACTTAAAAGTGGAGAAGATATAGTGGTATATACTGTTGAGCTTTACTTTTTGTTTGTTTCAGTGGAAAACAAAATCATGATTCGAAAGTATATCAATTGAAGTTAGGTAAGAGGATTGCTGTTGTATATGCAATACCAGTGGGCTTTATAAATCATTGACATAATAAAAAGGACTAATGAAACAGAACGGAAAGTGACTTAAATATATGAAGTTCTTTCTTTGTTAGCTATGAACAACGCCTGGGATTTTCGATGACAGGAATGTCCTAAAGGCGACCATCGATGTACCCGAGGCCGGAGAAGTAGACTTCCATTGCACGCACCTTGATCATCTTGATGAGAACTGGCGCATGAAGCAGATAAATGCGATAATTCACTCGAGTGATGGTCCACACATTCTAGCCGGAGGCCTCAATTCCTTGGAAGAAACCGATTACTCAAATGAAAGGTGGACGGATATTGTAAAGGTGTGTATATTATATGCAGACATTTTCCTGAACATCTGTCAGGATTTTGAACTAACAATTTTCAGATGAACTTGACTTTTTATAGTACAATGAGGAGATGAGGAAGCCGATACCAAAGGTTGAAGTGATGAAGTTTCTGAAGATCAAACAATATACCGATGCTAAGGACTTTGCAGGGGAATGTGAACCCGTGGTCGTGATTGCCAAAGGCCAAAGTACGAAACCATTCTCTTTGAACTTTTTTATTATAAATCCATTCATCGACATGAAATGAAAATCGCTTCAATCCGATGCAGGTGTACAGGGAACGTGCAAGTACGGTACTAGGGTCGATTACATATTGGCATCACCGAATTCGCCATACAAGTTTTTTCCAGGGTCGTATTCAGTCCTGTCATCAAAAGGGACTTCAGATCATCACATAGTAAAAGTCGATATGATAAAAGTAAACGATAATGTTGAAGAAAATGTCCATAGAAAGCTACGGCAACCGAAACCGAAACAGAAAGTTATAAAGATTACAAACAGTTCATCAAAATGCATGTGGAAAACACATACTACATGATATGAAATTGACTTTCATTTTTATTCTTTTACCTTTTGTTATCAACTCTAGGGAGCAGATGATTTTGAATCTGCATCCAACTGTGCGTTGTACCATTGACAGCTTAAAACAGAAACTAAAGGGTGATGTCTGGTATGAAATTTATTTGTATAGTTATTGAAAAGATAACTGATATAGTTTAAAGAACTCGGATGCTTCTCCTTTGGTTTCCACAGTTTCCAATACTACAAAGGGTATCGAGTGTTTTTTACATCATCTGTTCTTATTTACCTTTCCAAGATTAAGCTCATTAAAACAAACCCTTGGGCTTAGTCTATACTCCATGTTATTGTGTGTATTTTACTTTCTATTTTACTGATAATTAAGAAATGAAAACTTTGACCAGATAAAGGGTTCAACCTGCAAGATCTAGAATGAGCTTAGGCTCGAAAATCTAGTTGTAATTAAGACAGTTGCTTCACAAATATTGTTGATCTACTCTTAGATGCTACAGTGTAGAAGAACAACTAGCTCTCATGGTCTTATGTGCTTCTCATTTATCTTTTCTGGCACAGCAAATTCAGTCGAACTGTCTTTGGCGATCATCAAGTTACGCCTCCTGGGTCCATGTGATACAGGTCCCAGTAACTCTAACGGTGTTGTCGCTCTCCAATCACGAGAAACACATGGCTGAAGCGAAACAAGTATTGTGGTTGAATGACAGTAGAAAGTATGTGCCCAGCGAGAATCTATTCTGCAGCATACCACCTATACTTTCTGTTAAACATCATGTGATTGGTTTTTGCAAATATACCTCTTTCTAATGTTCAAAAGAACAAATTTATGAAGAATAGAAGCCACCGAACAGATACACTTGCACTGATTCCATACGGTAATATTCAAATTATGCAGAAGCAACAAAATTTGCAGAAAGCTACTAATTGAGCAACAAGGTTTAGAAAGCAAATTCTTGCGATAGCCTTTGTTACATAACTCCAAAACTCCATGCCACATGTGTAATCACCATTTTTACCTTCCCTATCCAGCAACCAACGACAGCTGCCTCTCCACGTTGCAGCTACAAACAGCCTCCAGCAAGCTGGGACAGCAGCCCCTCCACGTCCCAGTTCCAGTGGCTTCCATCACCTCCTTTGGCCAGTGACTCACCGGGTTATCCTCCTTTAACCGATCCAAAGGGTGTACGAAAAAGCCTATAAAAAACCCCATCAATGAAGCAAAGGGGAGGGGGCAGAGCAATCAAACAAAAAAAATAATAAAATAGAGTGAAGATACCGAGCAACTTACCTTCGTCGGAGCATCTAAATCACCGGAAAACCACCAAAAAAACGAAGGTAAAAATTTAGATCTACGGAATTTGGGGGGTTTTTAGAACAAGAGGAAGCCGAAATCGGATTTAGAAATAAAAGAGGATTTTTTTGGGTAATTTTGTAAAATTCCGGCCACCGTGGACGGTGGGCGGCGACGGTGGCCGGCGACGGTGGCCGGCGACGGTGACCGGCCGGTCACCGGTATTCCTCCGGTGAGGGAGCTCTAGTCTCTCTCTAAGAGAGAGAAGCCAATGGAGAGAAATGATAATTTAGGCCTATTTTGGCCTGTTTATACCCTTACCAAAACGACGTAGTTTTGGTGAGGGTCTCTGTGTAATTTCCCGGATGGGAAAACCATACGAATTATCCTCCTGATTTTATAGACTTGTATTTTAGTCACTAAATTAAGTTTTAGAGCATTTTAATTTTATTCCTATATTTTATTTTATTATATTTTTAGTCCTTTCCAGAAATTATGTAATTTAGGGTAAATAATATATTTAGCCCCTGTAACTTTATTAATTTTTAATTCAATCCCGAATAATTAATATAAGATAAATCATACTGTTAATACTTAGTTTTTATAATATTTTAAATTAGAGCTTTTAATTTTAATATGTTATAATTTAGTCCTTAATTTTAACTTTCATTTATTTTACAAGTTTTATTATCGTTTATATTTTAATAATATAATTTTATTTTTATTTATTTTAGTCGTTATTTATTTATTTTTATATGTTTATATATTTAATTATTATTAATTATTATTATGTATCATATAAATATATATAATAAATAATATTTATTTACTTATTTTTATATTTTATATATATATTAAATAAAAATCCTATTTAAAATTTTAATTTTATATAAATTACTTTTAAGAAAAATAATCATATTTTAATATTTATTTTTTAATATTAAGAAATGGGCTGTCTTAAATCACCTAGAAGTTCTTTTCTGATATTCTTAAATAAATAAATATCATATTTTTATAAATTATATATATATTAATTTATTTTAATTATTTTTAGAAAGATGTTATTTTAATATTTATTTATTTTTAAGAAAAGAGCTGTCTTAAGGAACCTAGAAGTCATTTTCTGATATTTCTAAATAAATAAATATTTTATTTATAAATATATATAAATTAATAGATTTTCTTAAAATTATAGTAATAAATTTGAGATAACAGAATTATAAATTAAATATATTTGAATTCTTAAATTCTATTATTAGAGATAATTATAATTAAAAAAGTACCAATTTTGGGCGTTGTAGGGGTGCTAATCCTTCCCTAAACGTAACCGAACACGAATCCCTTTTTATTATTAAAAAGAACAAATTTTTGGTTAAAACGCAGACTAGTTTATCTTTTAAATTAAAAGATGATTTTTTAGGTATTCGACCTACCTGACCCAAAAGGCCGATGGCGACTCCCAAAATATTTTTTAAAATCAAAATCATTAATTTATTCATATTACTTTTCCCGCCAAGTAAAATTTCGTGCCCGGACGAAAACCGGTTACGACAGCTTGGCGACTCCGCTGGGGAATGATTGGTCATGCTTTGAAATTAATTATAAATTGTCTCTATTAATTAGAAATTAAAAATTTATTTATTTAATTTTTAATTCTTTTTTTTCAAAATTTTTATTACTTATGATTTTCATAATATTTATTATATTTTTTATTTTTACTTTATTTTCAAATATTAAAATTTTCATTTAATTGTTTGTCAGAGGTTTGAACATTTCTCCTCACACACAACACTTGCATTGCATAACATAAAGCTTTCTAATCAAGCTTGTCCCTTTTTAAGTGGGAGTGAAAGCGACGTCTTCGTGAGAATTTATTCTCCGTGTCAGACCTAGCAAGTAGCTTTCGGGGTTCATATGCTCTATGTCTTCGTGAGAATTTATTCTCCGTGTCAGGCATAAAGAAATGTGTCCCCTCGAATTGAACTCGATCCGCTTAAGTCTGTGATGGACTAGGATTGAGGGTTTGACAGCCCAAGGGGGCATCAACAAGGACAGTTCGAGTACCTTTACTCCTAGAACTGAAGCCCTGCATATATTAAACCTAGAAACTCTCCCGATCTGAAACCATGCCGAAATTTTGTCAGTAGGTATACACAAAGGAGAAATAAGTTCTAGCTTTTATTTCCATTTCTTTTTTCTGAATAAATGTATGCAAACTAGAAATCATGCGGTTAAGCTAATTTTTCCAAACAAAGCATAGAACTAGAAAGCATGAGGTTAGGATTTATACCTTGATAAATAGATTTTTTTCCATTAATTGGTACTAACTATTTTATTTTTTCTTATTTCTTTTGCTTGCATTGTATGATCATGGCATAATCAAAAGGTGTTGACTTGAAAGACTGTTCATCAAATTAGAAAGAAATCGTAAATGGACAAAAAGTTTTATGATCAAACAAAATATGATGCGGCCAAGGAAAAACATCCTGAAGAAACTACGACGATCGAGGGAAGTTTTGTACATAGAGAACCAGTTATATTAATACCAAAAGTGTTACACAAAGATCCTACCAGATTGATACCAAAAGCAGTCTATGGTAAGAACAACAGTCAGGGCATTCAGAGTAGTGGAGGTTTTTATGAAGCTCAAGCATGTTATTTGAAGGACTTGAACGACCAAAACAAGAAATTGAGCACATAAATGAAAACCATGCATGAAGATTTTCAGAAGATCAGTCAAGCCTTTCGAAATGCTGGCATAGGAAACGCCCCAGAAGAGTGGATCACAGGGGTCACCAAGCTGAAAAAGAACTGCAATATATATGAAGATCTTATTCAAGAACTTCTTGGACAGAAAGGTTCTCTTACAAGGGAAAATGAGCAACTCCGAGAAGTGACACAGAAGATGAAAGAGAATGTCATGGAAGAAGCTGCAGTCCAGACAAGCAATATGACCCATAAGCTGATAGACCAACCTGATTTTACGAGGAATTGAAGCAGACTGATAATTCAACTATTGAGCATGAATGGAAATTAACTCGACTTTAGAGAAGTTAGGACTGAAAGATGTCCCATACATGTAAAAGTTTTGTTTGATGTACTGAAACTTTTGTGTTCAATGAAATCTTTTCTAAGATGATCATTCTTGAGAAAACACCTTTTCATACATACATTTGCATTTTGCATCTTTGCATTTTTCATTTTTGTATTTATACTTTTATGTTTGCTTTTGTATTGCACAATTTGCATTTTTATTGTTACATTCACATATTTACATTTGCATTTACGTTTGCATTTTTTACATTTGTATTTACATTTTCATTTTTACATAATTACATTTTATTTTAAACTATTTTCCATGCATTTAATCATGACAACGTGGAATAATTCGTGGAGAATTCCATGACAAATTTTTTGAAATCAAAGTGGAGCTAACTTGGTCTTCCTAAAGAAGGATAATAGCTATGAATGAGATTTTAGCAAGGGTTGGTAGAATTGAGAAATTGCAAGAGCAACTTATCAAGACTCAACAAGAGATGGCTGATCATGCAAAAAAGTTTCAGGATGATTCAAAAGAGCAAATGACCAAGCTGATGAACCTGATGAATGTTGTGATCCATGGAGAGAAACCCTCGGAGGATCCTGTTGTAAAATATTTGAATGGAATTATGAAGTATGTAGCTGATACAATGAAAACAAATGACCAGAATTTTGTCAGGGAATGTGGAAATCCAATAAGCCACAAAAAGTCGGGTATAACCCTAGAAAATACGACAAAGATCAAGTTGAAAAGAAGTATGGAAGAAGTTTCAGTGCCATTGAAGAAAGCTAAAGAAAGAAAAGTAAACAGTTATAATGAGACAGTGATGTCTGGAGAAATTTTACCCAAGTTTCATTCAGTTTCATGCAGCAAGATATATTACAA